ATTCAGGGGCACTGAGTCACAGGAAGGGCTACCAATACTGACCTATGAATGGCAAGGGTCAACGTTCACCTAAACTTCATACATTATAGACATATCTTTATCGATTCTTTAAATTTATAATTTTCTTTTAGACATTTTCATTTTGAAATCTCTATAAATGCTTAAATGCCATATATGATTAAATGATAAAACGTTCTATAACCCAATTAAAAAAAGAAGAGCAACAGAATACAGTGAAATTTCAAACGTAGCTCACTGTTGACTTGTTCTATTTTCAGAAGACTCTAAGGGCACCTCTTGTGGTCCTTGAGGGCCCCTTGGTGCCCGTGGGCACCATGTTGGTGACCCCTGGAGTAGACCCTTATCACAGATGAAACGTGGATCTAAAACGTTCCTATAAAACATTTCTACAACACAGTTTACTTTTTATGACAAAAACATCAACTTAGGTCTAATTTAAGTGGCCTAGCTCCAATTTTTTAATGTGTCCTTATAAAAGCTTGTTAGTGAAAATGGGACTATATATTATATGGGTTTCTTTTTCCATTTTTAATAAAGGACACATTTTTGTGTAGCTAATTGTCCTGTGATAATTCCCCCTGAAAATGTGGTTTCTGCTTCAGCACAACTGAGTCGAATAATCAGGTCATTAGCAGGACCCTGGAGAACTTGGCTCGATCCGAATACCTCAGATTGTAGCTCCTATCCCCTCACCTATCGCAGGGTCGACAATAAGAACTCTATCCAGGGTCGGAAAGGAGCTTTGCTCTGCAGTGCTAAATCTGAACAGTTGACATGAACAAGTGATGTTGGTCAAATCGGGACTACAACCGTCTGGAAAATAACTACAAAAACGTACAGGAACACAGTGAATGGCTTAAGTTGGCTGGTATAAAACCCAAAACATATGAAGGTGAGGAAATTAGCATGTGTCGTGCAGAGTACCTGTCAAATAAAAATATATTTTTTGTCAAGCTGGGCTGTGCAGATATGTGCTAACAGCATTGGTTTTAGGAAGCATCCTGCTTCTTTGTCCTAGCTCCTTTCTAACCATCAGCACTATTCAAATAGCACCTATTATGGCAATCATTATTTGACATATTTGGATTGACTGAGGTGTGTGGAAGCAGAGACGCACCTGAAAGGTGAAGGACACTGAACCTGGAGGACTGAAACTAAAGGCCTCTATACCCTGGTGGAGTCTGGATGATTTTCTTTGTTTTAAATACCAAATATTTCAGATTTTTAGTTGTGAAATAATTAGAAACTGTGAAGACCTTCTCTATTTTTGCAAAGCACTTGGATGGAACAAAAGAAAACAGCAATCTGAGTAACCTCTACATAGATAAGCCCTTTTTGGCGACCAACTGATATGGTGCGGCCAGCAGCGCTGTGTTGGGGAGGCACCTCTTCCTGCATTCTTCAGAGGCCCTAAGACAGGTGATCCTGCTGCAGGGCACCATGCTCCATATAATATCACGTTTGTGTCATAACCACAAGTCCCTTTGTGTGTCACAGTCATACATTTAGAAATGCAGTGTGGGGTTGAGGAGGAGGAAAAAGCCGACCGTGTCCCCGTGTCCCTCAGCACCTGTCCCTACTGTTTCAAACGGCTGTAGCCATGGATCCAACCCCCTCTAACAATAAACACAAGTGACATTTACATTTCAAGGGAAAGCAACACTACTATTTGATGACAATTTGAATACATGAACAATAAAAAGTTTTTAGTTGCATCTCAGGAAGTTAGAATATAACTGCATAGGAACGATTGTGACTGAACTTTGCTGAAATTTTAATGCGTGTTTTAGACATTTCTAGAGCTACACTTGTTTTTCCTAATATGCTAATGGTTTGTATTTGATATTTCACAATTAAATACTTTTAAAATGACAACTATTGCTGCATTCAAGTGTAGTAGGAAGAAATTTGCACAAGAAACAGGGATAGCAATAGCCTGAGATTAAAGGGGAACGTTGTTGTTTTTTTTTTTACATTGGGCCCTTGATTTTGCGTTATTACATCATGTTCTACTCACCCATATGAGCCTTTCTGAAGATATTCCGTTAGGTTATATCCAAGTAACGTCTTCCTATGGGCAACGACTTGAAGGCACAAACTAAACTGTCGATAAAGTGTTCTTTATGGTATGCCAGCATTCATAACATGTAGGCAAATCACTGTCTCCCAGACAGTTATATTTTTTATATTTTTTAAAAACAAAGCACAGTGTGTATGATGTCATCCGCGCGCTGGACTGGAGTTGTGACAGGCAGCCCAGACCACAAGCAGCTACGCTCTACCCCTTCTATTCATTTGGCTAGCTAATCTGAATCGTTCAATTCCATTTAGAGAGCGAGATCATCTGTGGTAGTAGCACTAGACATCTTCCAGGCACGTGAGTAAAACTAGCAGCAGTTCAGCAGACAGGATGAAGGAATGGTAGCCGGCGTTGCCCAAAGGAAGATGTTACTTGGATATAACCTAACCAAATATTTTCAGAACAGCTCCAAATTACACAAAACTCAAATGGGTGAGTAGAACATGATGTAATAACGTAAAATCCCAATGTAAAAAAACGGTGTTCCCCTTTAAGATGACTGTGAAGCAACACTCATCCAGGGTAAAGTCTATGCCTCAAGAGTCACCATAGATGACCACAGGACATGCCTTGTTTTACGATACCACACAGTCAGAGACAAGAGATGAATTTTTGATGATCTTTTTAGGACTAATAAGAAATAAGATGGCTTCAGTGTTGCAGCTTTGAGAGGACTGTAAAGCAAATTCCATTTAGGTTAAATCTGGTAGAGCTTCACAAAGAGTGGATTGTAACTGGACTCTGCGCACCAAGAGCCACTGTGCACAGATAAATCCTATGCATGGGCTACAAGCCTCTCTTAGGCTAAGGAGAGAGAGGCTTGTAGCCCATGCATAGGATTCATCTGTGTATGGGCATAAATTAGAACTGTTCCTCTGTGGTTCAAAATCCTCTTTTAAGGCCATTATCTTTTTTTTTATTATTATTTTTTGTTTTTGTTTCACATAAGCAAAATTTGTCTGCATTTTACCCATCCCAAAGGGAGCGGTTAGTTGCCATAGTGCAATGCTTGGGGACCATTCTGGGACCAAGGGTCTCGCTCAGGGACCCTGAAGGGCCTATTGGATTCAAAACAGATATCTTGCAGCAAGAAATGTACGCTAACCTCTCCCAATGGATGGAATGTGTACATTTTATTTGCAACAATAAGAGTCAGAAAGTCTGAAAAAAGAGTGCAGACGCACATTGTTCAAGTCCAGTGTGAAGTTCTCACAGTCAGTGGTGATGTGGAAAACCTCACTGGCTGCCGTTGCTCCACTTTGTTTTTATCAAGTTCTTTGTAGCCCATCATGCTTCTGTTTCCTTCAAACCATTACATTTCCATGCTTTTAACACTTGTCCATGTTTTAAAATGCTCTATTGCCTGCCTTTATGACCAAAGTAGCATCATGCTTGACCAACACCTCACAGGATTTATAGAGAATTGTGAAGAGAAAGAAAAGGGACTCCAGACCCAACAATGCAGAGCAGCTAAAGGCCACTGTTAAAGCAAACCTCAACTGGGCAACAGCTGATTATTTTCATGCCAGAATCCTGTGATGAAATTAATTCACACAAAATATGGCCCTTAATAAGCACTAACCATATAGACTCAGTGTAGAATAATAAAAATAGAAAAATGTTTAACTTTATTCGTCTCACAAGGGAGAATTTAACTATCTCGAGTTAAGGGTCTTGCTCAGGGACCCACAGTGAGGGCTGTTGGGACCGAACCGGGTACTTGCAACCTTCTCAGAGCACAAGCGCACTGCTCTAACCACCAGGCCAGCACTCCCCTGCATATGCTAATACCTTAAAGTAGGTAAAATTTCCAACCAATAAAAAGAAAAAAATAAATTCTGGAGCAGAGTGACTGAATGTGAGGTTTTCCTTCCACTCAACTTCCCATTAATAAGCTCTGTTAACAGACAGCATGTTTAGCACTAACTCTTTCTTGCATTTGCCATCGATAATGGAGCAGAGTGCCCCATGTGTTGACCATGCATACAGTTTATATATTGAAAATATTATTTTCTGCTGGTCTTCTTCATATATTAAATTATCCAAACCTGTAATAATGAAATGAATCTATACAATTCTGATTATAATCAATCTATAAAATAAATATACTCTCTTTTCGATTATATTTTATTTATTTGAGATACCCTTGTATATTGCAAGACAAGATGAAAATCAAACAAAAAATATCCAACTTTTAGAACTGTTTAAGGATCAGTTTATCTTCCTAAGCGAGAAATCTAGAAGTGTCTGTTGGTCAATCCGCTGCGCGTCTCTCTATCCTCCACACTTCAGATCAAACCACAGGAAAAAGAGCCCAGCTTCATCGTTCATAAACCGGATTCAGACACCTTTCGGCGTTTTTTGCCTATCCTGTTTCTTTTTTCCTTTCTCACATGCGTTTTCCTGTCATCACCCTGATGTGCGCGCTCCACCCCGCCTGCCGGACGCAGAGGAGCGCTGGAGCGGAGAGGCGCACAAGGAGCAGAGCTGATGTGGCGCGGTAAAAAAAAACAAAACAACAACAACCAGAAAACAGAAACAGCTAAGACTAACTCAAATAACAACACTATTTATCCGTGGAAGTAACTTTAGACAACATGGAACAACTACACTTCTATCACCTTTGCTCGTTTTGTTGGGAGATAGTTTAACGCGCGCCCGACGCGACTGTTTGCGCTCTGATTTTCCAAGTGATGCCAGGTCGTTTCTCGGTGTTACTGGAGTTAATGCATGTGTGATTACCTCCCTGCACCCCGCTGATCGACCTCTTACACCTGACTCTCAGCGATGGTCATTGAGGATCACGTTTCAGCGCGACGCACTTATCCAACTATTGCGCTTTCTGTTTACGACCTTGTCTTGATTTACAGATAACTTTTAAAGCTTGATCGAGACTACAAAAAAAGAAAAAAAAGAAAAAGAAAACCCAGAAGGCATGGTTTTAAACCTCTTCATCACAGCATGATCCAGTGAAAGGTGACAGAGGAATCAATCGGGGAAAAACAAAAAAAGATGCTTGGCAGTCCATCCAACAACGGCGGCCTCAGAATGCTCTCGCCCCCAGCCCCGAACGATGACAGGCGGGTAGAGTTCGTGGCGCTCACCGCCGTCCAGACGGAACAGAGCGAGCCTTCCACCCCGGAGCGGGGACACCCTTCTCACCGCACGGGGCTCCTAGGGACCCCGCTGCCGGGCCCCCCAGGACCAAGAGCCAACACATCCGCTTCAAGTAAGCGCTTCAGAAAGTTGCAAAACTGCCTTTACAACGTGCTGGAGAGACCAAGAGGATGGGCATTCATCTATCATGCTTTCATGTGAGTATTATTCATATGCACAACAGTAAAAATACAACTTATGAAACAAACAAACAAAAAAAGTTTTCTAAGGCTTTTATTTATTTATTTTTTTTAACTGGACTTGCCAATCTAGATTGTTATTACAGAGCAACTATTTGATACATTTTCCAATTAAGCCTCCCAAGTTGCCAGTACTGCAATTAACTGGATCATACTCCATATATCATCACAACAGGGGATCTACTGTTCAATTTTCCCCCTGTCTCTGTCTTATTAAATCCTTTGGATATTTAAGTGAATTTCTACAAACGCTTAGGAGATGCACGCTTTTGTATAAAACCCATTTTGTCTTTATAGTTTTAAGCAGAACCAATCCAATTCAAAGAATGATGTTCTGGAAACATTTCTATACATCTGGAAAATATCAAATGAGAGGCTAATGAGTGATAAAAACTTTTTTTTTTTACTTTTTAGAATTTTACAAGAATTTATTACAGGAAGGAAGAAATAAAAAAAAGCTAACACTTGTCAAATGTTGTCCAAGCAACTCATCCGATTCAGGGAGTTTGCTATCAGTGTTCTAAAGTACACTCATGCCAAATGTATTTCATTTATAAAACTTAAAAACTGTGGAAAAGCGTGAGCTCATAAGGCATGTTATCGTCTGTTATATTTTAAGATTAGTTAGTGAAATATTTGTCACTTTTTCATGTAGACAATGAATCTATGCCAGATTTTAATTTAGATTAATTTAATAACAAATCAAACATTGTTGTGTGAGTTTAAGGAACATACTTGTCAAAAGTTTGCTCAGTGCATATTGTTGAAGCATCTTAATAGATTTCAGCTTCTCTCTCATATGAAGCTCTGGACTTTTTTGCAGCAAACAGCTGTCTTCCAGCTGTTTCTATGTCTGGCACAAGATGGACTGAGCGTTATGTGTGGGAGCTCCTTGGACCGGGTTGTGCTTTCCGTGTCATTGTTTATACAAGTACAGCTGTCTGCCTGCCAATGCCATCATGTGTTTGTTGCAGAGGGAAATCCCGCTGCAGCGCTGCCTGCAACTCCAACATGTGTTCTCACCAGCTACTGCTAATGCATTTTTGGAAACAGAAACCTCTTTTAACTTTTTTGGAGTTGTTTCTACTCTGTATTTGTTTTGGGGGTATTTTACAGCAGGTGAAATAAGTATTTCACCTGCTGTAAAATACCATTTTTCCTCATTAAATCTATTTCTAGAGGTGCTACTGACATGACATTTTCACAAGATGTCGGTAACAATCTATGTAATCCACACATACAAAGAAATCCAACCATAGATGTCCAGAAATTAAGTTATGTGTAATAATGTGAAATGAAACAGGGAAAAAGTCCTGAACACCTTTTCTGAAATGTATTTAATACTTTGTACAAAAGCCTTAGTTGACAGCTTCAAGGTGCCTCCTGTACGGAGAAATCAGTCGCATGCATTGCTCAGGTGTGCTTTTGGCTCATTCTTCCACACAAAATCCTGAACTCTTTGTGGGCCTCTCCTATCAACTCTGATCTTTAGTTCTTTCCATAGATGTTCTATTGGATTCAAGTCAGGTGATTGGCTTGGCCATTCTAGCAGCTTCATTTTCTTTATCTGAAACCAGCTGAGAGATTCCTTGGCTGTGTGTTTTGGGTCATTTTCTTGCTGAAATGTCCCCTCATGTTTCATCTTCATCATCCTGGTAGATGGCAGAAGATTTTTATCAAGAATGTCTCTGCACAAGTTTCCATTTATCCTTCCTTCAATTATTTGAAGTTTGCCAGTACCATATGCTAAAATAAAGGCCCACGCCATGATGCCCCCACCTCCAAACTTCAATGTTGGCATGGTGATTTTGGGGTGATGTGCAGTGCCATTTCTCCACAAAACATGATGTGTATTATGGAATCCAAAGAGTTCAATTCTGGTCTCATCTGACCAGATTTTTTTTTCTTCCAGTATTTCACAGGCTTGTTTAAATCTTTTGCAGCAAACTTTAAACAAGGCTTGCATGGTGAGCGTGCATACAGGCCAAGGTGGTAGATTGCATTACTTATTGTTTTCTTATTGTACCTGCTAATTCAGTGTCTTTCTAAACCTCTACACAAGTAGTGTTCTTCTCTTGGACAACTCTTCTGATAGTTCTTTTCACTTCTCAGTCAGAAATTTTGCGAGGAACGCCTGGCTGTGATCAATTTATGGGGAAATGATGTTCTTTCCACTTCTGGATTATGGCCCCAACAGTGCTCACTGGAACATTCAGAAGTTTAGAAATCCTTCTGCAAACAATGCCATCATTATTTGCAACAACAAGGATGCAAACGTCTTGAGGGAGCTCTTTACTTTTACCCATCATGAGATGTTTCCTGTGTGATACCAGAGACACATTTTAGGCCATCATTTTGGACTGAACCAACTGATATTAATTTGCATTAACAAGGGGCAGGATTGCTTTTCTAATTACTGAGAGATTTCGGCTGGTGCCTTGGCTTTCCATGCCTTTTTGCACCTCCCTTTTTCACATGATCTATACTCTTTCCCTGTGAATTTCGTATTATTACACTTAATTTCATTTATTTGCATGTGTGGATTACATGGATTGTTACTAACATCTGGTGAAAATGTCAAGTCAATAGCACCTCTTGAAATATATTTACTGAGAAAAATGGTGGCGTATTCAATATTTATTTTACCCACTGTATCTGCACACAAAATAATAAATAAGTGCAAGAAAAACGATGCATCCCTTCAAAAATCAACTAGATCCTCAATGGAGACCAGGAAGGCAGCTGACAGGTTGGGGATAAAGCGTGAGGGAACAATTTAAAGCAGGGTTGCACAACAAAAAATATTGCAAATAGACAATGATAGCGTTAATAATAAAAACAGCCAAGAAGCTTATAGCAACACTGGAGGAGCTTTATCCATTGGTCAGATTGGAAAATATGTTAACCGGACAGCTATCAACTGCTCAATCCACAGAGCTACCAAATTTGAAAGTCACAGTAAGTTTCTTTTTTTATTCTTTACTTAAGGACTTAAAGGAATATAGGCGAACATTTAGAAGAATTAGCTCTGCTCAGTTAAGACCAAAATTAAGTGTTTTGGCTCAGATACAAAATGCCATTTAAGAAAACAAGAACTCCATCATGCTAAAATCCCTTCCAAGGAGAGGCAAGGCAGTGGCTGCATTATGCAGTATGGATGTTTTTTTTTTTAGCAAGGAAAGGAAGATGAAGAGCATACAGGAAGCTCGGCATTCCTGGTAGAAAGCCTGCAGGGAAATCCCAAACCGTGATCTAATTGAGAAGACTGGCAAAGTAAGGACTTAAAATTACTGTATATGCTCTCTTGGTGCGATTTATGATGTCTGAGTTTGAGCTATTTTTTAACATGGAAAAAAACAACAACATATATTTAACTTCTTCACCACTTTATACTGCCTCATGTTTTCACACAAACCAAATAAAAAACAAAAATCTTTGTAGTTGTAGTACGAATTAATGTGTTGAAGGTGTCTGAAGACATTGCACATTGCAAAAACAATCTTGAAATGAGTAAAAATTTCTTAAATTAACCCTTTAATGCCAAATGTATCATATTTGATACATACGGTTTCTGAAATGTTTTGCATCTGACACCTTTTGCATAATTTAATGGTAAAAACTTTGCTCAAAATCCTATTGTACACATTCAGATATACCTGATAACAGCCAGTAGAACACTACACAAAAGATAATCTTGACTTATCGCATAGTAATAAATTATTAATATCAAAAATGTATTTCTGTTTTTTCTTTTTACATATTTTGTTAAAAGGCCAAATAAGGAATTCAGACCAAAAAAAAAGTAATTTTCTGTTTTGTTTCATTCTTGGATCGGGCTTTAAAGGGTTAAGTGTATTTAGCCTCAATTTGAGTAGGAAAATAAGATGATTTTTCACTGGAATTAGTATTTTTACTCTTAGAATAATATAGTTAGATAATATGCAGTTGAAAGACAATGACAACTGTTTTTTCTTATTTTAAATCATTTATTTAGATTTACATTTTTTGCAGTGCATCTGTTCCTCTTTCGGAGAGTATGTCTTTGTGCACTAAATATGTCTTTTTAATTCTTTGGTTTAGATCTGTGCGTTTTCCAGACCTTTGACATCTTCTAACTAAATGTTGTGTTTGATAGCAGCACTGCCGTTGTTGTTATTTCTGAAATAAGGAGACTCGTGGAGGTGTCCATATCTGGTTTCAGATGCCATAATAGATCTTTAAATCATGTTTGGAGTGAAGTTCTCCTCTAACAGCCTGCTTTCATGTTGCCGTCCAAACCCCCTCCGACAAACACCCAGAGATCTGAACACACCACAGTCTTTAAAAATCCTTGCACTTATGTCAGTTTTTGTTTTGTGCACATCTGTCTACCTGTGAGCGTACTTCCCATGATACCCAATCACTCTGAGTGCTGCGATTCTTTTGATTAATTACATGCTTTCAGTGAGCGAGGAAAATACGGTGTACCGTGAAGTTCAATTAAGGGTATGTTGATCTGTTGTAATTAAATCCAACCATACACTGCTGTGTGGGGTGCTGCACTAAACTCAGCTGATTCTTTAATTAGGCCTACATTGTAACGGGGGACTCTGGAACAGATGTGTTACTTCTACGAGGCCCCTCTTATTGCAAGGGCTTTGTTGGAGTTTGTGTGGAATAAAATTAGGTCCTCTTATCTTCTAATCAAGCTGCTCATACTGTGCCATGTCTTTGGATAACCTAAACACCCTCTCTTCTAAACAGTCCCCATTACATAATTGTAAATATTCCTATCTTCGCCCTCCCATGTGGAGAAAACATCACTTGTTCCAGCTTTTTCTTTGGCACACAGTGTAACCTCCTCAAACCTTCATCCCCCCCACACACACACATCTTATTTTCTGTTGATCTACTAAGAAGATTGAGGAGTTTAAAGGCAGAAACATGCTTAAACGTCACAATAGGGTTCTCAGATGGTA